ATTACATTATAAATGGTTTTGTATTTTTTATTTTTAGATATAGCAATATTCAGCTATTCAGTTCCTTCCATTCAGTTCTAGGCACCATCCCATGTCAGTACCTACAGACACACTGCAATCCTTCTAACATTACCTTTTGTCATTGTATTTGAAAACTGTGTGTCCTGGCACTATTCTATACCTGTACAAATATTAACTCACTTAATCCTCATAGCATCTCTGATACGCTGTCATTACTCATCAGTTATAAATAAGTAAACGGAGGCGCAGGGAGGCTAATATACCTGAGGTAACATAACTTGGAAGTAGCAAAGTCACTGCATTGCAGTCCATTGTATGACTATCATAATTCCCTTCACCAACCAACTAGTGACAAATTTGGGGGTAGTTCCAGTTTGGGAGTTATTATATAAGATACGTTGCATAGATCTGTTTTCATATCTTTGGGCATTGCTGTGTTTCTGTAGGATAAATAAGAATGGTAATATTGGGTCAAAGAATATACACATTGCTTATTTTAACAGATATTACCAACATGACCTTCAAAAGAGTAATTCCATTTTATCCTCGCAGGTTGCCCATCTAATCTAGTAACATTTTTGCTCATCTCCCTATACATTTTCACTGTGATTCAGCACACTTCCTTGGTAATGGTTCTAAATAGTCTGATTAAACTCTGTGCTATATGTTGAACTTACAGCAGTTGCTGGAGAACATCAAGAACAATGAGTATTCAAGCCAAGGAAAGTGTCTGTGTGAATAGAACACATTGTGTTTGGACTGGGGTGGCATGGGGTTGTACACACAGTAAATTCATCAGGTCACCAACTCCTCCCAAAGGTAGCACTGTCCTGACTTCTAACCCGTTAGTTTAAATTAGTTCTGTATGTCTTTGAACTTTGTATTTTTTTGTTTCTATTTCTTTCCCTCAGTATCCTGTTTGTGAGATTAGTCCGTGATGTTGTGTATAGCAACAGTTTGTTCATTTCATTGTTGTATAGTATTCTAGTACATGAATATTTACCCATTCTGCTGTTGATGGGTTGTTTCCAGGTTTGAATTATTATAAATAGTACTATTTTGAGGATTGTTTTAACTTTACTCTTTTTTTTTTATCATCACCCAAGGATATTTTTTTCCATTGCTTTTCAGAGAGAGAGAAAAAAACCCAAACATCAATGTGAGAGACACACATCGATTGGTTGCCTCCCACACTCGCCCTGACCGGGGCCAGGGGTAGAGCCTGCAACTGAGGTACGTG